TTCATTATTAATTTTTCTCTTTCATTTTAACTTTTACCTTTTCTCTTTCTTTCATTCATCTTCTTTCTTTGTTATTTCTCCATAGCCGAAATACATCCAAGTTTTTATAGCTTTCAAAAGCTTCTTCCTTTTTCATTTTTTTTTACTTCAAAAACACTGAAAATGGTGCGCTCAAGACCAGCTCCAACCAACACGACCGTTTGGCAACAATTTGAGAACGATGAGGCTAAGGCTCGGTTCCAAAACTTCAAGAACCGAAAACTCTTTTTTGAGTTAGGATTTATTTTTACCGAGGAAACCGATGGTGGTTTTGGACCCGATGTTATGGACATCGTGACGCCACTCAAATGGCAAAAGTTTGCTCGTCATCCTGGTTCGGTGAACGCCTCATTAGTTAAAGAGTTCTATGCGAATATTTCCAAGCCCAATCAACACTCCATCTTCGTTCGAGGTAAGCAAATCCGTTTTACATCCACTGCTATTAATCGTTATTTTCATTTGCAGGATGTTGTGGATAACCATGCCACGTTCGAAGAGGAAGTCGATAGTAACACATACGATGGGGTCTTGGAGGACCTTTGTTTCGAAAACACTGAGTGGAATGGTCGCCAGACGAGCTGATACTCGGTCAACCGGGAACGTCTTCAGCTACGCGCAAAGCTATGGAATCACTTTCTCAAGCATAAATTAATGCCCACCTCCCACAACACTACGGTATCACTTTCACGCTTATTGCTTTTACATTCTATAATGGTATCTCGTTCGATCGATGTGGGTCGTATCATTGTTCAGCAAGTTCACGACTGTTTGGGTAAAAAGGCAAGTGCTTTGGTGTTTCCTAATTTAATTACCGCTTTATGTAGTAAGAAAAAGGTTGAGGAAAATGCTTTTGATGAAATTTTACCTGGATTATCGGGCATCACTAGGGCTAGACTTCCACTGTTGTTGGGAATTGAAAATCCCAAGTCTAATGACCCTGTTCATGAGCAATCTGCAGGTGCTACAGAATCGAATGCCGATGCAAGGTTACTTGCTCTCGAGGAAGATGTGACACAGACTCAAGCTCAACTGCATGCTTTACACGGTGACATCCGTAACTTCTTTGGATATGTAAAGCATAGAGATGCTGTGGTGGAATCATTCTTTCAAGAAATCATTCCCCACGGACAACGGAATTTTCCTGGATTCCCAGACGAAATTCTGCCAGCATTTAATGCCGAGGCATCTCCAGAGCCTGAGCACGATGTACCTGATCCTCCTGCTGATGACCCTACTCCTGATACACACCAGTCCAAGACTCCTGAATATCCACCCACTGTCCCTGTCGAAGAAACACCCAGCCCCGTCCCAGCACCCAATCCTTCTCCTGCACAACGTAGTGGTCGCCGCACCAAGACCACGGCTGGACGTATTGTGCACTATTACTCCAATTCTTCCGAGTCCAACCCAGCACCTATCCGAAAGCGCACCCGACGAGGAGCTGCTAGCACCTCCAAAGCACCACCATCACGTAAACATTGAGGTACCTCTTTTGCATCCATTTTCATTTAGTTGCATTTCATTGCATAACATATAGTTTATAGATAGTTTAGTTCTCTTTAAAGCATTGAGGACAATGCTTCCCTTAAGTTTGGGGGAGGTATTGTTCTTGGTAGGGCATATGCATGATAGCATTAGCATAGTATTATGCCATGGTATCAGTAAATGGTAGGACAGTTAGATAAAATGTTTTGAGGATACCCGATGATGATAATTTTGTTAGGCTAGAATCTGAATGTAAATGACTGTTGAGAATGATAGAACTCACTCTAGGGCTTGATGCTTGATGAAAAATATTTACACGATTTGTATGTTCTCTATACTTAGAAAATTTAGGAAATTTTTATGAAGGAACTCTAGTTAGTCTTGGCATTGAAATATAGTATGGTGTTTAAAAGAAAAATCAAAAACAAACTCCCTTAGAAATGAAACTGTGAATAAATGCTTAAGCATAGCTGTAGAGGGACACTCCTCTTTGCCGTGGCATTTCCTGGAACTTTCTTTAATAAATGGAAGCCTCGTGCATATGAGTGAATGAAAGAAGTCACGGGATGACTCTACTTAACTAGCTCGGGGATGGAAGGTATGCTCCCTTTCATCTAGAGTATGGGAGAGTAGGTGTGATGAGCTGACTCCCTTCGTAACAGCATCAAAAAAAAGGGAGTAAAAATGTGCTTAATGATAAGTAAATGCCTTGACAAAAACTAGAAAACTTGATTAGAAATTGTCTAAATTCGCTAAGTATAGATTGGATACAATCACGCACACACACTACCACAAAGGATTTGGACCTAAAGAAAAGTACTTGAATTCTTGATAAGTCTAGCATGTTGAAGCCTATCGTTCTGAGGGTTGAAATTCAATTTTGTCCTACTGTCTTACTATCGAACTTTGCCATGACATTATGCTTATGTAACTGCTATCCATTGCTTGAGGACAAGCAATAGCTTAAGTTTGGGGGTGTGTTAACTTCCTAAAAAGGCTACTTTTAAAGCCTTTTTCACTTAAGTTATTGTTTGTTTAAAAGCTCATTTTAGTCATTTTAGGATCATGTAGTTGCATATAGTTGCATTTGTGGTGGTTGTACTATTTTATTTCTCAATGATGATGTTTGAGGGAAAGGTGCAGTTTGTCTATGGTGTGCAGGGAATAGCAAGAAAAAGGATTCTTTGGGAAGTAATGCCGCGGCATCACACGTTGCTAAAGCAGATTGAAATGCCTTGGCATTTCTGGCGCAGAAAAAGACAAAAAGATATTTCTGCATAAGGACAGCTGGCACTGGACAGATGTCCCTGCACGTGGAGGACTGCTGTAACCGCCTGCCAGAGCTGCCAATGTACCACTGCCACTTGGAGGATAAGATTCATGCACAAAATGTGATTCTAGGGGTATGAGGGGTATTTTGCACCCAACAAACTCATCATTACCCCTAGATATTTTATTTATTATATATGACACCTCATGGGAGAGAGAAAAAAGGGGGTGAGCACACGCATAGAGCAGAAAAATCAGATTTTTATTCTCTCTTTTTCCTTTCTTCTTCCTTGGAATATTCCTCCATTGAAAAAGCTCCAAGGAGTGGCAAGCTAGGCGCCGAAAGGAGCTAGCGAGCTAGGTGGTTCGTGGTGGCCGAGAGGAGACCTCCGGTGGCGTGTCGAAGGCTTCTTCTCATTTCCCTTTTTGCTGCTATTTCTTTATATTATTTTGTGGGTTGTTGGAACGAATTTTCATGACTTTGTGTTTGGATATTTCGAACCCCACCATGAACTAACTTATTTGGTGGTGGTTGGTTGAATGGTTGTTTAAACTTTATTTTTAATGGTATATTTAAGTTTATTTTGGTTCTTTATTTGCTTTGGTTATGAATGCTTCACCATCTAAGCTTGTAAGAGGCATGGAAATGTCCATCTCTTAGATGAAGGTTAGGTATTCAGAAGAATCCTAAACTAAAAATACTTGTAAGTATTCGGAAGAAACACAAGATAAGATCCTCATAAGCAATGGGTTATGGTATTTTCAAGGGGCTTTGAACCGGCCTAGGAATATTATAACTTAATCCCTTAGATCTCGGAAGAGACTAGGTTAGGATTTCAACGACTAAAAAGGGTGTCTTCATCAATAGGGTAGGTTGTCCAACATCGTTGAGTGAGAGCAAATGCCTTGGCATCCTATTCTGTTAGGTTCTTTTGAATACCTTAGGAAAACCCTGTCAAGTAAGTAAAGACAAGATAGCTTAGATATACTTGAGAAATAAGTTTAGCAACCTTAGACCAATCCTTACCATTCATTTCATTGGAAGCTTGTCACGTGAGGATTATTTTCTTCTTATTTTATTTATCTTTTTAATTTACTGTTTTTACCATTTCTCATTACCTTGACATTTCACCATACTCAATATTAAACATCCATCATTGCCACTGCATTTCCATTTGCTACACCATCAATCCGCATCCACCAGCATACACATATCCATTGCCGTGACATTTGTATATATCAAGACTAACTATACTTAGATAGAATACTGCATTGCTTTGGTTAGACTTTTGTGATTTCACCCAATCCCTGTGGAGACGATACTCACTCATCATTATATTACTTGAGCGATTGTGTATACTTACACATTATTTGCGTATATTTTATAGTACTCACAACACGCAACACTTAGTGTTGTAATTACATTTGTTCTTTTGTGGCTGTGAGTTTGTTGTTTATTAGATAATAAAGAAAAATTATCCAATAAAATAATATTTAAATTATATAGTATATGAATTACAATCAAACAAATATCATAGTTAATTGATCAAGTAAATTAATAAGTAAATCATCAATATTCAAACAATCATCAAACATCTTAAAGATGAGTCTTAAATGCTTTAAATCTACTATCATAAACGTTTTACTATATTAATAATTTTTATATATTTTATTCACTTAAGTATTAAATAATATTTCAAAGTATAAAAAGTTAATTGTACTATAAATCGTCAAACTATTGCTTTATTTTTCAGTTCTTAAGTTATGACTCACATTCTAAACAATTTCATAAACTTTTGAACGTCTCAAGTTCATCCATAAACTATAATTATCATTTTAAATTAAATCCCAAACGTTTAAATGTTTCAGTATTGTCTCCTAAATCATTCAAAAGTTTAAGGATAAAATTAGAACATTCAAAAGTTTGAGAATCAATATAGACTCGGGCTATAATTTGAGAATGAATTTGGAATGTTCAAATTTTTAAGGATCAATTTAAAATGAGAATAATGACTTGAGAATGAAATTAAACTATTTATAAGTTTAGGAATTGATTTAGAATGGGAGTAATAGCTTGAGGACATGTAATGCAATTAGCTCAAATATAAACTCAGAATCTCAGATGTATTTTAGGAAACATATCGTCAAACAAGGGTATTTTAGTAACTTGATAAATATTCTCGAATAACCGTGCCATAAATAAAATTCCCAAATTTTCACCCCTTTTCCCCCGCCATTTATTTTGTCCCTCTTTCTTCCCAAATCTTAGGGCTCAATCCTCTCCTGTTTCCAATGAAACCCTAATTATTTTCAATTTTACCCTCGGATTCCTTCTAATATTACTAAGAAGCCACTCTATTCATGCCCTCTCTTTGCAGCAAATCCCTCACCTGCGGTATAACGGATCCATGAGCAATCCAAGCACCTCGTACTGGGTTCCGGAGCATCCCGGGGAAAGGTTGATGGACACGGCCAACTGCGGCATCGGCTTGACCAACACAATCCATTCTGAGGTGGCGCAGTGCTTGCCGCTTCCTTCCTTGCCCGTTTTCTGTGGTACTTCGGATCTGGAGCTCCGACTGTTTGACGACCCAGCTGCTGGAGCTGTCAGGTCTTTGAATCGACCGGAAATAATCGCTCAAGCTAGTCGAATTGCTGATCTGCTTCGCGAAACGGACGTCTCGTATCTGTAAGCATTTTAATTTCCAGTGAATTTGAAATTTAAGTTCAAATTTTAGTGTTCTCCGAAGTTAGTGAAGTTTGAAAGAAAAGATTTAGAGTTCTTAGTCTTTGTTACTATTATTGATAGTATATATAAGCTTTAGCTTTTCCTCTCTCTCTCGTTCTCCCTCTCCCTCTTTGAATAATTTGAAATTATTGCTTAATGTTTCACATAGTTGCTATTTTATTTAATTGCTGTTCGGTGTTCGCTATTTCTATACTTTCTTTCAAAAATTGTTAAAGATAAAATCAATTGTTTGAAAATGAACAATTTATGTAGAAAGAATACATAGTTCTATCATATTTTATGAAAAAAAATAAAAGTATATTCGTTTTTGTGTTAAATAATTGTAATTTGTTATTTCTCAGATTTTTTTCTTCTACGTCAGAAACAAAGGCCAAATATTGAAAAGTAGTAAACAACAGATATTAAGTGATTAACCATGCATTTGAGTCTCCAGTCTTAGTTGTACACAAGTGATTACATTTTTTGTTTATACTTTATATCTGGTTTTGTTTGCAGGAATCTTAGGGATGGGGCAACTTCAGTTACACGTGACGGCTTGGAGCCCTTGAAACTTTATGCACAAGTTCTCCAATACAATCCTGCAGCATTTGAGTATGTTATCCCTGGTAAACAAAGTATTCTCAGTTTTTTGTTTTCATCGTATTTAGTGAAAGTACTGTAAGTTGAGCCAAGGCACGATAGTTCTTTTTGATATATGTAGATGAGGAAGTTCCGTTATAAAACTGTTCTTAATTATCTACATGGAAATTGTTGTAATGAATCCACTTACCTTTATTGAATGAGGAAACACTGATGTGGTGACATCTCATAATCGAATATCATTCTAATCTGCAGCAGAGTTTCTATTCCATGAAAAATCTCAACAACAATAGTGTAGTCCATAGCCTAGATGATCTGCATTGTGGATGAAATAGTTGACTTATATATGAAAAGTGGTATAGGTACTTTTGGTTATATGATTTTATTTCACGTAAGAAACAGTGTATGTTAGCTACAATTTTGTTGTATGGAAATATATTACTATATTGATTTTGTATGTTCACAATATTCTGTGTTGTATTCTTTCCCTCTTGGACGCGGTGAGCCACCTCATATACATAGATTTCAAATATCTGGGCTTATTGTTCATTGCATTTCTTCAAGTCTCTCAGGTCTTGTCAAGGAGAAACTCTCTGGTGGTGCTGTGTTTGATAGGAAGCCATCTCAGTCGAGTGTTCCTCTTATTGGGCAATTCCAGAGAGAAATTAGCAGCACTCACAATCAGCAGACTGATGTTGTTGCCAATGTATGGATGGGTTTCAATTTAGCTATTAAAGGCTGAGTTATTTAAACATACTTATTTTTATAGATGTAATTGCAGGATGCACCGAAATCATCTTCCAAGAAGTCAAAAACCAAGAAAAAGGATGACGACATTGGGTCATCAGTTCTACCAGATTCTACAGAGCTTCAAGGTTGCCTTCTGTTTGTTCCTCCATCCCTCCTCTCGTTTGTATGATTACATTTATTTTTCCATAACGTTTTCATATAGATGCCATGATTGGGAGCTTCTGTGAGATGCTGGAGGACTTCTGCAGCAGAGCTCAAATTCATAGTGATGATAGGGATGAGATGGAGTGGTTATCATTGCCGGTTAATGATGTTAGAATGCTTGTTAATGAAATCATGTCAATGCATGCAAAGAGACTTCTACATTTGGTTCCTGTATATATTCTTGTGAAACTGTTACGGATTCTAGATCATCAGATACATCGAGCGGAAGGTTTGTCTGTTGATGAATGCGGGCATGTAAGTGATTTTTTTTTTTTGTTTTTTGGTGTGCATGGTTGTGCAACTATTGTTTTGTTGTCACCTTTGATTATGTTTGGAAAGAGGAAGGGTTGGGTTAGATTTTAGGTTCAGTCTTAAGCAATTTCATTTTGCCTTCTGGTATGGATGTCTTAGTATCGTCTTGTTTCAGGTTTTACACTGGCATTTACTGGTTGTTGATCAATCAGAATTGAAACTGTGGTTCCATTTCCCCTTTCTTTGTTATTGATTAGTTTTCACATTGTTCTGCTTTTTTAAGGATTCCTTCTGTTTTGCTGTGGTATCTATATTAGTTTGGGTGTAACAATGCAACTGAAATTTGAAATCAAAAACTGAAAAATGTGCTTAGTGCTAATGTATAACAGAAAATGCGTCAAACAAATGTGTGATGTTCCTATCGAGAATGAATTTCTAAATTTCTGATGTTTTTCATTTTTCCTCTTTTTTTTTTTTGGGTTTATATGAGGAGCATATTATGTTTCATAAGCCTAATTCATTTTTGTTCAAATGTTTCAGCAAGATTCAGATGTATTCTCGTTAGTCTTCTGTGCCCTGGAATCCATTCATGCTTCTTTGGCAGTAATGGCACATAATGACATGCCAAAACAATTATATGATGAAGAGGTATGTGCCTCATTTGATTAGCTCTTATCCATGACCTTTCTGTGAAGTTTCATTATGTTCTCGTGCATTCAATTGTTCCATTCAAATTCCAAACCTTCTTAAATTGTTCCAATAATGTCTTACTGTTTGAAAGATCTGTTAAGATAAATGGAAATTTCAGTTGTCAAGAAGGTGGCATTCTTTTTAATCGAATCAATTATGGATGGGACATAATAATAACACTACAAATTGGAATTTAAATAAAACAATTTATAGGTAGGGATCATAATGGAACTTTTGAAGGTTATGGATGGTGCAGTTTTCTCACAATATTTGATTTGTTAAATCCTGAATCATGATATCTCTGATGTGCTTTGCGTTCAGTTTTTATGTTGGTTGTCCATTTCTGCCATTGTAACACAGGTTATGAATCTCTCTTTTTCTCAACAGATTATTGAAAGGATTATTGAGTTCTCTAGGCGCCAGATAACGGATGTTATGTTGGCTTATGATCCATCGTATCGTGCCTTGCATAAACCAAGTGAAAATGGAGCAGTTGAAGGTTGGCCATCTGATTTATGCAAAAAGTGCAGGATCGTTTCTTGTGACTCTTCTTGCCATTTTCATTTGCATCGATAAATGTGATAGCATGTCAAAGTCCATCTGGTCTTCAGTTTTTGAATTTTACTGTATTTTTGTATAATCTATGCTCTAGGTTTCTCTTTCAGTCGAATGGTAGCATATATATTATGTTAATTTTCTAGTACCTAACTTAATTTCACTTTTTTTTTCTAGATGATGACGATGAAGAGCCTGATGCTGAACTAGGTTCTGCTAGCAAGAAAAGACGCAGTACCAAGAGTGCTAAAACAAAAAAATCAGCTTTTAACAAGTGTGCTTATTCATATGCTGTTCCTTAACATCAGTATAATAGAAAATAGTTTAGCATAGCTGAAGTTTGGTGTCTTACTGTTTAACTTCTTCCTTGACAGGATCTCTGGTGCTATGCATGCTATACTACAGAAGCTCTGCACTATTCTTGGTTTACTAAAAGACTTGTTGTTGACTGAGAAGTTATCTGATAGTTGTGTTCTACAACTGCTAAAGACAAGCTTTACTACTTTTTTGGTGGACAACATACAGCTCTTGCAACTCAAAGCAATTGGTTTGATAACTGGGGTATGAATCCAAACATTCAGTTTGTTGCTAAAAGGATACACATGATTAAATGCTTGCATCAAGGTAAATTATGGTAAATAGATATTGTTCTTTAACCTTGGTGTTACTTTTGATACAGATATTCTACTCATATGTCCCACACAGAACATATATAATAGATGAAATGACTCAGCTTCTATGGAAGTTGCCTGTTTCAAAGCGAGCATTAAGAGCATATCACCTACCTGATGAAGAACAGAGGCAGATCCAGATGGTTACAGCTTTGCTAATTCAGTTGGTTCATAGCAGTGCTAACCTTCCGGAAGCTTTAAGGCAAACATCATTTGGGAGTCCCCTCTTGGAAATCTCAGTTGATGCTAGTTACTTAACCAAATGCCATGAATCTGTCCAGGAAACATGTTGTCATTTCTGGACCCGTGTCCTTCAACGTCTTGCTTCTGTAAAGACTCAAGATGCCTCTGAGTTGAAAGTGATGATTGAGAATCTAGTCACTGATTTGCTGACGACATTGAACCTACCTGAATATCCTGCTGCTGCTCCTATTTTGGAGGTGAGAAAAGATTTGACTATATTTGTTTTGTCATTATTATTGGATAAAAATGGTAGCGTTTGGAAACTATCATTTGCAGGTTCTTTGTGTTTTACTGCTCCAAAATGCTGGTCTGAAATCTAAGGATACCTCTGCACGTGTAATGGCAATTGATCTTCTTGGCACAATAGCGACAAGGTTGAAGCATGACGCTCTCATCATTAGGAAGGAAAAGTTTTGGATATCGGAAGAATTGCTAAGTGGGGATAGTATCGATCATAGTTGCCCCAAAGGTGTATGTTCCATTTGTTTGGATCGAAAGGTGGAGAAAGTGTTGTATAGGTGTCAAGGTTGTCAAAGATTTTTCCATGCTGATTGTATGGGTGTAAGTGAACAAGAAGTTCCTAATCATAGTTGGTATTGCCAATTTTGTATGTGTAAGAAGCAACTTCTTGTATTGCAATCATACTGTGAGTCACAGTACAAGGATGATGAGAAATCGAAACTTGGTCACTCGGATAAATCTTCTGATCGAATTATGAAAGCTGAAATTGTTCAGCAGATGCTTTTGAATCATCTTCAAGACGCCGCTTCTGCTGACGATGTCCATCTTTTTGTCCGATGGTATGTACTTTTTTCCTGATTATTGTGCATGTGAAAATGAAAACTCAAAGATGCTCTTCCTAATTGTTTTTTGTTTAAACTTGTGGTTTTTGACGCAGGTGTTATCTTTGCTTATGGTATAAAGATGGTTCTAAATCTCAACAAAATTTCAAGTACTACGTTGCTAAATTGAGATCAAAAGCAATAGTGCGTGACTCAGGGACAGTTTCTTCAATTTTTTTACGGGATTCGGTCAAGAAGATTGCTTTAGCATTGGGACAAAATAATTCTTTCTCTAGAGGATTTGACAAGATTCTTTACTTGCTTCTGGTTAGTAAGATATTTTGCAAGTCCTTAATTCGGTAAGTACAGCAGGCTTGATTCTTATTTCATGTTTTCTTTTCAGGTTAGCTTAAGAGAGAACTCTCCTGTAATTAGGGCCAAGGCTTTACGAGCAGTAAGTGAAAAAATTCTTACAACTTGTTATTTGGGACTAGGATATTCATCATTTATATTGATGAAACAAGTTTCCATTATGTATTCATGGCAGGTTAGTAATGTTGTAGAAGTTGATCCAGAAGTATTAGGCGACAAACGTGTTCAAGTGGCTGTTGAGGGGAGGTTTTGCGACTCTGCAATATCTGTCAGGGAAGCCGCATTGGAACTAGTTGGAAGACACATTGCTTCACATCCAGATGTTAGTTTTAAGGTACTTCTTGAACTACACTTGTCTATCTTTTGAAAGCAGGCCATGCTTTATTGACAACACTTGTCTTTGTTTCATTCTCCTCTTTTTCTCTACTCCAAAAATTTGGGGATAATTAGTACTTCGAGAAGGTGGCAGAGAGGATTAAAGATACTGGAGTCAGCGTACGGAAACGAGCAATCAAAATTATTCGAGATATGTGCATTACAAATCCCAACTTCTCAGGGTTTACAAGTGCTTGCATAGAGATTATTTCTCGTGTTAGTGATGATGAATCAAGTATACAGGTAATTCAGAATCCATGAAGCAGTGTATTTCATGTCAAAAACTGAGGCACTAATGGCAATATCATTTTTTTTCTCTTTTCAACTGAGGGGTCTGAAATATGTAATGCAGATGGTCTTTTTCCTCATACTAAAAAACCTTTGTCAGGTGTTTTTGTTGATGAAAGGCACTACATTGGTACCTAAAACCTGGTGATGCAAACTATTAGTCGTGTTTCTCCTTTGTTCTAGATTCATGAACGAGCATTGAACTTTTCTTGAAATACATATTTTTCTTATCAAAACTGCCGCTTTCTCAGTATTCTTAGTAGTTTTTTTCTCATCTTCAGGAGCTTGTTTGTAAGACATTTTACGAGTTCTGGTTTGAAGAACCTTCAGGGGTGCAGACTCAGTATCCCAGAGATGGTAGTTCCATTCCTTTGGAGGTGGCTAAGAAGACTGAGCAGATTGTTGAAATGTTAAGGCACTTGCCCAATCATCAGTTTCTTGTTACTGTCATTAAGCGTAACTTGGCCCTTGATTTTCTCTCTCAATCAGCAAAAGCTGCTGGAATCAACCCTGTCTCGCTTGCTGCAGTACGCAGACGATGTGAAGTGATGTGCAAGTGCTTATTGGAAAGAATATTGCAGACTGAAGAAACGAGTAACGTGGAAGCAGAAGTTCCTTCACTTCCCTACGTGACTGCCTTGCATGCATTTTGTGTTGTGGACCCATTACTTTGCATGCCAGCTTCAGATCCTTCTCAGTTTGTGATCACATTGCAGCCTTACCTTAAGAATCAGGTTAATTTACATTTTACTTCAGAACTTTTTAATGACACCGACATAATTGAGGGGGAGGGGCATGACATTGATGTCATCATGTGTCTTTTGGATCTATTTGCTTTCTTATCTGCATTCTTATTTAAGCGATTATAATCTTTGTGTTTGTAGTCTAGCTATACTATTTTGAAGAACCGACCTTTCTCTGCCACCTCATTCCAATGTCCGTTGAGTCTTTGTTGCTTGACGGTTATGAAGGGGGTTTTTAACGAGGCCTTCCTTTTTATCAAAAAAAAAAATTCTTCTGGAAGCCAACAATGTTAGTTGTGAATTAACGGACTAATCTTAGTTTGTTTGATTTTCTCGGGTATAATATTCTTGTCTCTGGCCTGCACTGATGCTTGCTCCTTTCTGCTAATATTTGGGCTTGTCAATCTAAGGTTCTTGTTATTGAATCAATTTTTTGTTGTTCAGGTTGTATGTTAATTCCTTCAGTCTTCTCTGTTGTCATTGATTATTTTCTAAATTTTGTCCCTGTAAATTTTCTTTTCTTCATTGCCGTAATACAATTGTTTATAGGCTGCAGAGGCAATTCCTTAATTGCTTTCACTTGTGCTCAGGTTGATAACAGAGTTGGTGCAAAGCTACTGGAGAGTATAATCTTTATAATTGACGCTGTTGTGCCTTTGATGCGGAAGTTACCTCCTAGTGTTGGTGATGAACTTAAACAAGACTTGAAGCAAATGATCGTCCGGCATTCTTTTTTGACTGTTGTCCATGCTTGCATCAAGTATCTTCGACTTCTCTTTCTTACTGTCTTTTGTTTTTCTGTAATTCCTGTTGTTTGTGGAAATTTGATCTTTTTTAAATTCTATTTCTGCCGAAGGCCTGAATTTATTTTTCTTCAAGTTTTTATATGCTTGGAATGTGATTTTAAGATACATTGTGAGTAAACAGGCAGGGTTTAATACTTGGAAGGCATTCTATTTCTGATTTTAATTCCCTGATTAATTTTCTCTCTCATTGCAGGTGTCTTTGTTCTGTGAGTACAAAGGCAGGGAATGGTGGTGATATTGTCGAGTATCTCATTCAGTTATTTTTCAAATTATTGGATTCCCAAGCAACTGATAACAAGCAGGTTCATTGCTAGAAATTTGTACATAATATTTTTATTTCCATCTGCAATCTTTTGGCTAGTCAGATTCATATATTTTGTTTTTGTCATGTGCAACATGAGCAATATTAGTTATAATTCCTGATTTGATCTTATTAAAAAAAAATCCTGATTTGAAATTCCGTATGATGTACCAGAAAATTAGTATATATTCTTAGCACAATTAAATTAGAGGTAAAAATTTATTGGGCAGCTTATAGAATACAGAAATGCAAAATAAAAACTACGGAGAAAGATTGAAATTTTGAAACTTCTTGCTCTTTTCCTTTATCCAAACCTGTGAATCTATTTATAAATAATTGTGTGATTTTAGGACTGTTAGAAACTCAGGTTGGCACCTTGTATCAGTCTTTTCGCTTCTATGAATCTTAAGGGCAGCTGACTTAAAGTAAATGACACTAAAGTGGATTTGGAAAATTTTAAGGGATAACAAATATGAAAATAAGAATTTTTAATTATAGAAATAGGTTTGCTGACTTTTCAGTTGTCTTTACTTTCTATGAAAAAAATTATATGTGAATAATAAAGCTCATGTCAGCTCCTTTTTATTTATTAGTCATTACTTTTTGCAGCAAGTGGGGCGCTCTCTCTTCTGTCTCGGATTGCTTATCCGCTATGGAAACCCTTTGTTTAAAAATGTTGATGTTGGTAGCAGTATTAGTTTGTTTAAAAGATATCTTCAAATGGATGATTTTAGTATAAAGGTTAGATCTTTGCAGGTAAGACCCTTTTTTTCCTACATAGTAGTCTTGGAGTTTGTTTCATTTCCATGTTAATATATTTTAATATTGTAACATATGGTTTTGTTTCAATGGCTTATTCTTTTAGGCATTAGGTTTCGCTCTAATTGCTAGGCCTGAATATATGTTGGAAAAGGACATTGGAAAGATTGTAGATGCTGCATTAGCAGCGAGTTCTAATGTTCGTCTTAAGGTAAAATTGTCAATTTGTCATCACTGGATCTCTTTATTACAAATTCTTTCTATTTATAAGATGCATGATAAGCATCTCTGCCCACCAGATGCAAGTGTTGCAAAATTTGTTGGAATATCTTCTTGATGCGGAAAGTCAAATGGGAACAGATAAGGTCAGTAATGATCAAGTCCATTCTGTAGAAGGTGGCCACAGTGTCCCTGTAGCTGCGGGTGCTGGTGATACTAACATTTGTGGGGGTATAGTCCAGCTTTACTGGGATAATATTCTAGGGAGATGCCTGGACTTTAATGAAGAAGTTCGCCAATCTGCCCTAAAGGTGAGAAGCTTTTACCTTAGCTATATCCCGTGAGGGGAAACAATTTTAGTCTGCTGGACTGAATCTGAGTTTCATATCAGCAGAGTGATTTTAGAAATTTATAAAATATGTTATTGTTTTGTAGCTAGTCTTAAAACCTATTTGTCCGTTGGATGGAAAGTGAACTTTGAAAAAGGGGAAGAAAAACCGGTTCCGGGAAAGTTTGTATGATTACAATATTATTATCAAACCGTTGTCGGATGCCGCACATACGATTTTCTATATCAATCTATGAAATGGTTGAATTTTTTGAGTTTTGACTTTACATTTTCTGTTTGCACTGCTCGTTTTGTTATGTATCAAATGCAGATAGTGGAAATAGTTCTCCGACAAGGTCTTGTTCATCCTATAACTTGTGTCCCATACCTTATAGCACTTGAAACGGATCCTCTGGAGGTCAACCAAAAGTTGGCTCATCATTTGCTGATGAATATGAATGAGAAGTACTTCCTTTGTGCTATTAAAAATTTCCTTTCTGTCCTTTCTGTTTGCCAGCACGACTAATGAAAGCTTCATTTTTCAGATATCCCGCCTTTTTTGAAAGCCGTTTAGGGGATGGGCTTCAGTTGTCATTCATCTTCATGCGTTCCATCAGTGACAATGCACCTGAAAATCAAAACGACAAATCTCAATCAAAGCATCCTGGAAATTCGAAAGGGAAATCCGATGCTGCTGGGTCTTTAACACAAGCAAGGCTGGGAGTTTCCAGAATTTACAAGCTCATTCGTGGAAACCGGGTTGCTAGGAACAAATTTATGTCCTCAATTGTGCGGAAATTCGATAATCCTAGCTGGAACGATTCTGTTATACCTTTCTTGATGTGAGTTGCTTGATGCCAGATCTAAAATTTTCTTCCTCGATTAATTATAATGAGAAGTTGATTTCCCTTTTACAGGTACTGTACAGAAACCCTTGCTTTGTTACCATTTTCATCTCCTGATGAACCGCTTTATTTGATCTACACTATAAATCGAGTGATACAAGTCAGAGCTGGGGCACTTGAGGCAAATTTGAAAGCGTTGAGTTCGAATTTGCTGCATTCAGATGCTCAGATGATGACTAATAATATCGGGATGGCTCAGCCGGATCCTAGTCAAGCTGTTTATAATCAAATGGCTCCGCTAGATTTGAATGGAACATTTCAGGAGGAGCCAGTGGTTCAGCCTGCTTTCTTTCACATGACATCCATTGATTTCAATGGTACATTCCAACAAAACTTCACTCATCAGTCTCTTTCAAATTTTCCTCCTACATTGCAGACAACAATGCATAAGATGACCCCTTCCGAAACTCGTGCTCTCTCCAAAGATGAAATGCAAAATATCCAGGTACTTTTGAACCTTGCAATGCACCGACTGGTCTTGAATTTTACGAATAAATACGTATTGCGTAGATGTATATGTTTGTGCTCGAGGACAAAAAAAGATAAGTGGTTTTTACATGCCTGGCGTTTTGTTCTAATCTGTTGGATGTTCTCGGGTTAGTTACTTTCGACACTTTTCCCGTGTTGTTCTTTTCAGGCCGATATCCTTGCCGCCACTGCAGTACAGCTTCTTATGAAGCTGAAACGACACCTAAAGATTGTTTACAGCCTGAATGATCAAAGATGCCAGGTTGAAATATTTCTTATGCCACATTGTTACCTGTAAATGCAAACATGGGACTGCTTTTAACGGCGAATCTTATTTTGTGTAAACTAGATGTTTTCTCCAACCGAACCTATAAAACCGGGGGAGGCGCTCACGAGGCAGAACATTCCCTTCGACATCGGTGAAACACGCACGACTTTGCCTTCCACGAATCAAGAGTTGGTACAGAGATATCAGGTAATTTGAACAAATTCGTGCTTTTAGGAGACTAGCATTGGACACTAGTTCTTACATAGCTATCGTACAGGAATACAAAAACGCTCTGAGGGAAGATGCCATCGATTACTCGACTTTCACAGCGAACATCAAAAGGAAGCGCCCCCCAGCTCCGAGGAGAGGAGGAAAAGCCACACGTACAACCGGTGGGGATGAAGATGATTTCGACGACGATGAATATACAGGTGGCAGTGTCCCTCGAAGGATGAGTAACAGTGGACGGAAAAGTTACAACGTAAGAAGCAGCAGTCGGCAGCGATTATAGATGTAAATATTAACGACAGGTACGCTAACATGTACATTACATTGAAGGAAAATAATTGAAATAGTAGGTTAGGTTAAATTCGAGAAAAAGGGAAGCGGAGATCGGAAACGGAATCACTCGCCCTCGTTAGGGAGGATTGCCCTTCTACTTTTAGATGTTTCCATTTTGTAGTATTTTTGATTCATTTCACTTCCATATTTTAGATTGAATGTTTGCCATTGCCGCCTTGACATATATATGTATATACACCGAGTTCATGAAACTAAAATTTAAATCAAATCGACTTCTTTAATGTCAAGTTTAAAATTTTAATATTTTTAAATGTTACCGTTTTAGATGTTCGGACCGTCAACGACTTTGATTAAGTAACAAACATGGTAGCCGCTTTTTTTTTCACTTGAAAAAACATTTAGCAGCTTATTTGAATCATCTGAAATACAGTGATATATGGCAGACTTCAGAGTGAATAGTATCCAACTGCAAGACGTGGCACCAAATATTCTCCGCACAAACATAAATGGCATCGACATTTACGGCCAATGGTACTCGGACTATGTTGAACACGAGTATGTATCCGACACAAATATATTTGATTTTCCATCATATACTTGAAAATCATATCTCGGCATTCATATACGAATGTGACACACACAGATACTTTAAAACAAAATAAGAAGTCGGGATGACATGGCTTCCGGCCATCGTTATCAAAGAATATATTGTGATTCTCAGCTGAAACACCAAGACATCCATGCTCATTACAGAACCAAGAAGACTACAAAATGAATAGAAATGTTACCCTTGGGTGTTTCCAGGAGCTTTGCTTTTACAAGAAGTCCCAAAATGCATTTTGTGGCTGCCCAAGAATAAAGAAAAGCAAAATAATCTAATATCGGTTCCAGTATGTCCGGCGCCTGAACCAGTTGTAGTCAGGCAAACCTTGGACAGGGCCCATGGCAGCAATCGCTATATCCTGCAAAAACCAACACAATCGGCATTAAAAACATTACATCTTCAATTTCAATGTCATGACCCAATTTCAGTCGATGCAGAAAGAGTAGTTAAGAGCTGGGTTTGATTGCAGTTCCTACCCTGTCATAAATAAATCGGTTTGCAACTCGTTTCACAGTGCTTGGATCAACAGCATCGATCCTAGCAAATAATTCAGCAAATGGGATCCTCCGACCGTATGTAAGTAGCTGCAAGAATTGGAGGCCAAAGCCAAATAAGCAATCAAAAAATGAAATATACGAGGTTCATGAAAAATTAATATCATAAAATTCTCTGTGGCAATAGAATTTTTGTTTCTAGTAAATCGAGATTTCTCCTTGAATCATTTAAATCTTTATTTGGTTAAAAACAGCATATGTGCTATGATTCAAATGATATGGTTGCTAGAATTCCATGCACCATCGGATTTAAAAATAAAACCTTCTCTAATACCAGGAAAAACTGTACCTGCCGTCCAATATCTTCAGCTACAGGACTAGTTCCATCTATGTGAAGCATCAAGGATGATTTTAACTGCAACAAGACACAGCAATGGTAGTTAAGCACACTAAGACATTGCAGTCAATGTGTCCTTTAAACATAACTGATGCAAAATTTGCATGTTTGGCATGGTGCATTAAATCGCATCAGCTAGGGCGGGAATGGTTGAAATATTTTAGCAACAAAAAAGGATATTTCTGTTCAATTGAGAGAGTAGAGATTCTCTAGAATTGCACAATAAAATGGAAGGTATTTGAAAAGTAAAAGATAATGAAGTATTTCAAGCAAAACCTGCCACTATGAGATATTCCGGCTAATTAGTCTGGCAGTTCATTATAATGATTGTAGTTAGCAGGACTGTGATTGTAAATTCTATGACCTCTTGAACCCACTTTCATTGGTGCATTCGACTCAAGCTTATTTTACTAACTTAGAATGCCAAAAAGTCATCTATTGTCAACTGAATTGTTCTATTGGCACACTGTAGAAGCACTTAATGACAAGATATGCAAAATTTTCAAAATTAGCATCTATCAAACATGACGTCATAGAAGCATTTGTAGCTACCTGATTACGAGCACGAATGACATCAGCTTCTGAAACACGATAGGCTAGCTTGGTTGCCTCGTGCATAATTGCAAACGCCAAATCATCTAAACAATCAGGCTGAAACACATATAAAACATAGAATTTAAATGAAAAACAAATACAAATACAACAGCATATAGCCAACAGTTACACATGCCAAACAGTTTTGTTAAGTCCTATCTGATTACGGGTTTGAGTATGACAAACATTTTGGAATATCATATCCTCGTACTCATATCAGACTCGAGTATGAGATAGTTACAGGTACAAATCTGGCCATTTTTGTAGATCACATCCTCCTATCCATATCTGAAAAAGTGTAGGGAACTGGTTTTGAATACAAGTATCGCAAGAAAAATGGGTGTCGTATAAGAATATTTCTAGAAAAATGAAGAATCCGACAAACTTAAATTAAGCCAAGACAAAAGGAGGGAGGAAATGGCAGCAAGCCAGGTAAGATGTTAAGGCCTCAAGAAGATGAATTAAAAATATCAAGATGATATCGAAAAATATGACAATCTTTTATCTGAAAACACAATCACCGGCAATAGATACCAAAAAGATACCAAATAATATGACCATAACAAAACATTACAAAAGCATATGGGAACATCACCTTGGCAACCGCATAGACACCAAAAAGACCAGTATCTTTATAGTTGGTGTTGAAGGCCATCATGCTTTCCGCAATTTCATTAACGCTGACTCTTTGTACCAGGTCAGAGCTGTTTAAAAGGGATTTGAAAACTAATCAAAACACTAAGAAAACGTACGAGTTTCATCCTGAAACTGAAACATGGTATAGTTTAACCTTATGATCAGAGAATCAACATAAGAATAAAGCTCACCCCATGTGCTTTCCACACCCAACATTTTTGCTCCATGAACCCAGCATTGCCTGCATAACCATTAGTGCAATAGAATCTGGGTCCGTCCAAGATGCTCCCTCAAAAGCAACCGCAAATTGTGCCAGAGGAACATCATCATTGATCATTCTAACCTGATTTTTTTTAATTAAGAAAAAACAAAACAGAACATTATAGGGCATAATACCGAATAAAATACCTCAAAATTTACTAAAGGATGACACCCGCACCTCGGAACCAGTAAAAGTGGCCGGTTCATTCATAACTAACTGTGAACCAGTGATTGGATCGGATGATAACTTGGTAAACAACTTCTTAACTTGCTCAACAATTTCCTCATGCTTAACAGCCCCAGACGCAGCAATGACCTGTTATGGTTACCAAATAACACAATTTGAAGAGTCTGCCAACAACTCTTACACAAAGTACTTGCACAATATACTTGGAGATCAATGGAATATGAAGATATTCATTTGCTTTAACTTTAAAGAACTTGATCTTGACATACTAAATGAAGATACACAAGAAAAGCTAATTAGAACACAGCATACCATTCTTGGAGCAGTGTAGTGTGTCTGAATATAGTTCTGCAGATGCTCTTTGGTGATTGTCCTTATATTACCGGCAGGTCCCAGAATAGTCCTACCCAGTGGAGTATATTGGAATGCAGTTGAATGCAAATGGTCAAAAATAACTTCCTCAGTTTGACCCTCAACCTACAAAAATTCACCAGATTTTAGCTTTTCTTATGGATAATCAGCAGAGAACCAAAAGCAAGTGCAGTTGACAAAACCAAGGCAACATTGGCTATAAAAAAAATTAATGATAATAAACTTTCTCATAATGCTAGACAAAAGATTATTTATCACCCAACAGGCCCACCTAGGAATGCAAACATGTGCTTGCAAGCAACTCGTTTTCAGATTGAAAAGAATTCATATCTGGCTTTAATCATTGTCTAATTGAGCTTGAGCAGCACAAAATATCGAGTGAAGTCAAGTATCCTAATGCTCGATTCGAGCAGCTTGCAGGCTTAATCAAGCCTTTTTAATTTATAATATAAATTATTTTAACAAAAATAACTGAGCCGGTGTTCAAACATGAGAATCAAGCTCTTTTTTTTTATTGTAAACACAATCAGTTCCCACATTGAGTTTGGCCTTTAAAATGGAATATGATCAAGCTCAAACTGAGCTTTGAGCCTAAAATTTCAAGTTGAGCTTCTTGCAACTTCAACTCGGATTGGGTTGTACACCTACCCATTGAAAAGAGGAGAGGGGGTACAAGATGAAATATGTTATAAAATCTTTGTTCTGTACAAAAAGCACAACAACTCTATCAAAACCGAACAATCAATGCAAAGCAGTCTCTAACCCCATATAACTCCTATATAACACATGTAGCCAATAAACCTCAGTTATATCTAAACATGTAGAGCACAGCAAGAAACTTTTACTCAGAAACTAGGACCACCTTGTACCTTCATATACTAGTATAAATAGAAATAAATTATCATAAAAAATAGTCAAATTCAATAAATTTAAAAACTTTTTGCTTCACTTTTCTTTAATTTCAAATTCTTTTCCATGCTAATCCAACACACCAAACAAACACACAACCAATCATATTACTCCTCTGTTCCCTAAATGCAAATAGTTTCCATTAATGCCCATAACAAAATCCTAACCCTTCCCCAAAAAAAAAGGACCTCCTTATACCTTGCTACCTCCCATATTTCCTGAAAATAAGATTGAATTCATGATAAAACCCATCACACGACAGCCAAACCAATAATTAGAAAGTCAAATTTTGTTTATTGTGGTCTCAAAATCACTTCCTTCTCCTATTTTCCTCAAAATTATACTCTACGTATCCTAAAGATCATATAAATATATAGACATATTTAGAACCCACCCATTAATCTAAAAACGTATCAGCTACTTACCACGTATCAAGGAAAGACAAACATCCATAATTTATTCCCTTCTATAATCCCTAAACCCAGAAAAACCAAATACATTCTACAAATATTAATCATATATTATTAAAAAAATGTATATCCCAAAATATACAAGCTTCTTAATTACCTCTTCCATTTCTCTTAGAATCACATCCCTTTCCCTACTGATTCTATGTTCCTCAAACTTCGAATTCTGCAAGATATCAGCCAATATATCCAACGCTTTAAAGACATCTTTATCCATAACTTTAGCGTAATAAGTCGTCTGTTCCCTGGAAGTATAAGCATTCAAATGGCCGCCCATATTCTCAATCTCTTCCTCCAGTTCCCTCGCAGACCTCTTCTCTGTCCCTTTAAATATCATATGTTCCAAGAAATGCGCCGTCCCATTCGTCTCCTCGGTCTCAAATCTCGACCCTGCATCGATCCAGACCCCAACCGTAGCCGTGCGGGAAGATAGGGAAGATTCAGTTGCCACGCGAAGGCCATTGGGCAAAGTTGTGATTTTGGTTTCGGGGGAAGATAAGATGTGTGTGTGAGATGTCAGGGTCGGATGAGGCGAACCGTACTTGAGGAAACGAGGATCTGGGTTTTCCAGCTTTTGGAGCTTTGATTTAACTTCGACGGCTAACCGGTCGTAGATCATGGCCGTCGGTGGAGGAGGGGATATCTCTTTAGATTCGGCGGCTGCGAGCGAAGAGGCGGCCGAAGAAGATGACCGGGCGGCGTTGAAAGAGAATGATGGTTTGTGGGACCGTCGAGCTAGGTAAAGAAGCTGCCTGATCGCCATTTTTCGACGATTTATTTCCTTCTACCGATTAATTTTTTAGGGTTTGTGAGAAATTGGGGATTTGAAGAGCGGAGAGTGGAAGGGGATGGCTGTGGTTATTTATTAGGGAAGATGCAGTCGAAGATATTGGGCTAAATAAAAAAAAAATAAGTACCTAAATTATATTCAAAATTTATTTTTGGTGCTTAATAAATTTTTTGTTAAAATTAAGTACTTATTATTTTTTTCGATTATATTTTTAAGGTGTCTATAGTTAAAAAAAACCGTTAATTTTTAACACGTCTCATGTTCATATTTTTCAAAAAAAAATTAAATAATATTTTATTTTAAAAAATAAAAAAAAATATAAACATGACATGTATCATTTAATAAAAAAAATTTAACGACAGACACCTAAAAGTAAAACGAAAAAATATTAGGCATCTATTTTTAACAAAAAAAATTAGTCATCAAAAGTTAATTTTAGACATAATTTAGACATTTATTTTTGAATTAAACCGAGATATTATTGTAATTCTTGCTAAAACTATGTCGTTTTGAAGTTTAAAAGCAAGAAAGGATGAATATGTAATTTGGGTACTTAACAATTTAACACACTTGGAATTAGGGCTTGAGCTTTGATTCATAATTTTTGTTTCTATAAGTATTTGATATATTATTATTGGAATTTATTTTTATGCAATTTTAATTAATATTTAATTATACGTTACAATATATTTTTTAATAGTTAATATTTTTCATTTTAAGAAATATGAATATTATTTTAAATTTAAAAAATTGAGAATTAAAAAAGAGAGAACATTTTTATAGGGTGGAAATTAAATTTGGCTAAAAAAATATAAATACACATGCTTTATATTTTGAAACCAAAAAATAAATCTAAAATAAAATATTATTAAATGATTATAGAATATTATTTTTAAATAATAATAAATTAATTTAATTAAATAAATAATATATAATAAAAATTCAGAAGACCTACAAAATTCAAAGTAAATTAATTACACTAACCAATAATATTTTCGAAAAAATATAAAAAAAATTAACCGTAAATTAATGACAATATAATCATATAAAGAAAATATTAAATCAAAAATATGATTTAACAACTTAAAAAAAATAAAAAATAAAAATCATTATTTACAACAAATGATAAGTACAGCCAATACTAGCATAATAATAATAGGATATGATGACATGCTAGCAACTAACATTATTATAACTTAAATATCGTATATATGAGCACGAACCAAGCGGTCTTCGTGGTAAATGAATTGTCATTATTCTTGAGGATTCGGGTTCGAGCACCATAGATGCTAAGAGTATGAGCGTTCAATGTTGAAAGGTTGAGAGTTATCTACGAACAGATACTACATTATACTTACCCTCTATATATAATGATTACAAATAGAATACGAGAGAACCACGTCGATGTTCCAAAGTAGAGATAAATAACAAAGAGAGCAGTTATTAACAGGGCTTTCAAGGCAAAAGGGCTGGATCTCGTGGTTGAACAACTCTTGGCCAAACTATGGCAATTCCACAGGCTTAATGTTCCAGATCTCCCAGGCGTATTCATGGATGGTTCGGTCGCTGCTGAAGTTGTATGAACCGGCGGTACCAACCTGGTCTCGTATTTCGGCATTGGCACCATCCAAGGTCTCAGTCATAATACAACCGTTCATCGCAAACCTCATACAGGTTAGGGTGAGCAAAATTCGAGTCGACTCAAAAAATCGATTTTTTCCAACTCGAATTAACTTCGAGTTGCAATTTCATAAACTCGACTTCACTCTAAAAAATTTCAAGTTCAAATCGAGTTGTAAAATACAACTCGAATTTTTTAGTAATTAGTGGATTTATTTTCAAGTTTGAGTCGAGTCTTTCGACTTTGTATGATATATGTATCACATATGAAAAAATATGAAGAAATATATTTTTATTATATATATGGTTATAGAAAGTCACTTAAATCGGAAACAAATAATATTATAGTATTATAGAATTAAATTTAAATAGAAAGTCACTCTTGGTGTCTTTACTGCAATCATATTGAGCTTCTTCTTTTTATATGCAATTAAGGAGAAAAGTCCCAAGTAAAAGGATCTTGTGGGGTTCAGATTTTGAAGTCTTTTAAGGTTTCTGGAGATGGCTAGTGTCCAAGATCAACTAGAAATCAAGTTTAGACTGATCGATGGATCGGATATCGGGCCAAAAAAATTCCTTTCTGCAACCACTGTTGCAACCTTGAAGGAAAGTGTCCTTGCTCAATGGCCTAAAGGTTAGTTTGGTGTTTGATTAACTCAGAATGAATATTGGATTTGCTATCGTTTCTTTGCCGAATCGTTTATCGGTTTATATGCTCTTAATCTTGCAGAGAAGGAGAGTGGTCCGAGTACAATGAGAGATGTGAAGCTCATCAGTGCAGGGAAAATATTGGAGAACGACAAAGCATTGGGAGAGTGCCAGAGCCCTATTTGTGATATTCCAGGTGGAGTGACGACTATGCATGTCATCGTTCAACCTCCTCTGGAGAAAGATAGACTTATTATCTGCTGCTCGATGTTTTGTTTTCTTTAGGTCAATCGAAAATGTTTGGTGATGTTATGCATTGCGTTTTAGAGAAGGTTGAACTCGGTTTTCCTTGGCCATTTCTTGTTAATAGTATAAGGCGCCGGAATGAAACCAACCATGCATTCATGCCACCAAACTCATGCTGTTCTTTTCCGAACTTAATGTGTTTTATGATGCTATTTCCCCCCATGAATTAACATTTGAATCTTTCATTGATGGGCAGAAAAGAAAGAAATAAACCAATCGAATTCGAACAAATGCGTGTGTGTCGTATTATAATCTGCGGTTTGACGAGGGACGACATGATTTTCAGGTGGTTAGTCAATTTTATCCTACCTAGACTCTTTGTTTTCTCTAAAGTACTTACATTTAACACCTATGTTCGACACATATCCGGAGATGGGTGTTTATGAACAAACTTAGAAACCGTTGAGCATACCCATGTAGGAAACACACCCGAATCTATACCGGGTGCAAAGTCGGGATAACATAGCTTAATTGATTGTTTTGCCTGCTAGCATAATCCTTGGCTTTAAACTAAGTTACATGATGACAAATTTATGCAGATGAAGAGTGCCAAAACTGGTATAGAAAATGAAGTTGCAGACTTACGGATCGAGGATGGCGATTGGCAATGGCATCCTGCGTGTTTATCATATAGCTGCTCATGTTTGGTGTTTTCTCCTTCTTTTGCTGTTCTATTCCTTATATGTGTAAATAGATGATTGTCCGTCCACTTAGTTCTCTCTGTTGTTTTCACATAAATTAGGCTTGAATCTCGGATTTCATGTCCAAATACGTCTCATCGATCTTTTCGCAAGTTCTGGAGCATCAAAGCTCTTGTTTTGCCATCAGGTTTGAGACCACTTTTTTGCATTCTGAAGTAGAGCTTCTTTGCTGTTTCAACTTTGCCTCTCAAACACATTCCATGAATAACAGCATTATAAAGAGAAACATCTGGTGGAACTCTCTGTAAAACGAACAAAAAGAAGTCTAAACGTCGATCTTCCGAAGTTCAAGAGGGATACAAAATCATTAAGGCTTGATATTTGATCTATGTTACTCGACCTCTGATGTATAAAATGGTTGCTTGAACAATAACTAAATAAAGATAAGCTTACCTCTAAGATTTCCTCTACTTCAGCCCAAAGAGATCCCCAGATGCAGCTTCTTATTAGTGACAAATGAGTAAATGTATCCGGAACACACTTTCGATGAATCATGTGCTCGTAAACTTGCAATGCAACTTTCGGTTTCCTTGCAGTTTCGCAAGCTCCAATGACGAGATTATACGATGCAGTCGAAACCGATAACCCCGAAGCCTCCATTTGCCATAAAAGCTGCAAGGCCTTATCCCATGAACCGAGCTTCCGGCAACACATTAATGCAGTGTTATATAGATGAAGATTTACGAGCGAGTCCTGTTGTCTTATTCTTTCGAAGAGGTGAAGAGCATCGGCATGTTGATTTGCTCTATACAAAGCACCAAGCAATGAATTCCATGTGAAATCATCTGGTTTATGACCCAAAGATGCCATAATATCGTAGATTTTAAAAGCTAATTTGATCTCTCCAGCTTTTCCGAGTGAATTGATCAATGCATTGCATGCTACTGCATTCGGCTTCCACCTATCGTTCAACATCTTCCGAAAGATCGATAATGCTAGATCCCATTTCCCTTCCTTTGCACACGCGTTAATCACGGCATGCATTGTGTCGTCCCAGGGTTCAACTCCATTTCGAATCATCTCATGGTAAGCATCAAGCGCCAATTCACACCGACTACAACGAACAAAGATGCTAACTAGCAAGGAATAAGCGACTCTGTTCCTATATAGCCATTTTCCTGGATTGTTCTCCATAACCTCTCAGCTTCAACCCAATTGTTTGATCTTCCACAAATCGAAATAGCCGTATTATAAACAATCACATCGAAACCCTTTCCCTTTCTCGAATCCCCTTCCGATTCCGCAAACATATAAAGGGCTGCATCACACCCCTGAGTATCTGCAATGGCTTTCAGCATTAAACTATAAGTGTGTCCCGTAATAATTTCATAGTTCTTCATGAACTCGAAAGTGCGCAAGGCATCATTGAGCATCCCATTTCTTAGCAGACAAGAAAGAAGAGAATTACATGCATGAGCGTCGGGTTTAAGACCAGAAAACTCCATTGATTTGCACAATTCCATTGCACTTCTAATCTTGTTGGACCTACTAAGCATCAATATTCTTCTTGATAATTCCTTTTCATCCCTTTCCTCCAAGAAGTATACCTTACCATCTTGTAAAGGGTCCTTCGCATCTGAACTTGCCGAAGGTCGACCGACACATTCGGACGCAAAATCCAAATTCCGGTCGACCACCAAATTCCCCCAAGGAGGCAAATTTCGACACAAAGAATCCGACTCGAATTCTTCTTTTTCATTCCCAATCAAACCATTTTCATCATCAGATTCAAAACCAGTAGACATCTTCATTACTTTAACCCTATCATCCACAATAGTGGACTTGAATTGCGAATTCATCGACGAAGTATTCATCGATAAACGACCAAACCGAACATATTTACTAACAGCATCTCTACTTTGGTAGCATGAATTATACTGCAATCCAAATCCATCTGATATCATTGCAAAAGAAGCTGGATTCCCCAACAATTCTCCCATAACTGATGGACCAAATAATCAGAGATTTTTACCTGCAAAGTTGAATGGGATTCTAAAGATACCATTGGGAGCAGTTTCTTCAATGTTGAAGATAATAGCGGACAAAACGACGGTATATCAATATGGATACTTAAACGCACCGTTTCATGCTCTTTATAATTCTAATGTAAGAGATTAAGAAGTACTATGGATGGACATTTGATCCGAAATTTTTTATTCGATCCGATCCGATCTGATCGGGTCAAAGTTTTCTTTGTAAAATGTTTGAGTTTGGATTGAGTTTTTTAACAATGAATTCAGGTCAAATTTGGTATCAAAGTAAAAAAATCGACCCAAAATAATATTATAATTTTTTTTGTATATTTAGAGATAATTGTAATATTATCGATCTTTATATTATTATTATAGTTAAATCTTTATTTTACCTAATAATATATATATATATATGGATCAGATTGAATGTGTAATTTTTATTTAAAAAAAATGATCTGATTCTGGATTGAGCGAGACACTACTAAATCCGAATCAGATTAATTTGAAGAATTTAGTTACAAATTGAATGAGTGAGTAAAAAATCTGATTCAACTCGATTTATAAATTATTTCTATCTACTATTAGTAAAGAATTTTGGGGAATGTGCCTCTTGAAAATTAAAAAAAATGTTTAATTTTCAGTTAAAATATGTAAATAATTATCTTAATTTTAAGATATTTTTAATGATATATGACATCGTAGAATAATAAAATTGGCATAGTGATAAAATTTAATTTTTATGTTTTATTTTAGGGTAAAATATATAAATGATTTCCGACTATACGATATTGTTTTATTGAATCTTTTGACTATTAAAAGTTACAAAATGATCTTCGACTATAAGAGATTATTTTTTTAAGTCATCTGACTATTAAATATTATAAAATTGTCACTCGATTATCGTTGTGTTCCAAACTCGTTCTTTTTTGTTAAAATTTTATGTCAGTTTGAGTTGGATGTTAACCAACTGACTAAGGTATGATATAATACGAACCCAGAATCTCAAACGACTATCATATCTCAGTCAACAAATTAGAGTCCAGCTCAAACCACCATCAATTTTTTAACGAAGAATGATGATTTTAGAACATAATAAATAATTGGGTAACCGTTTTATAAATTTTAATAATCGATAAACTTAACAAAAATAACCTCCTATAATTAGGGTAAAAATTCGTTCTTATCGACCAGACATGCTTTTAAACGAAACACACAAAAACCATTCAAATCAAGATGGTAAAAAACTACATTTTATTTTTCTTATTTTACTGTGAATCAAACGTTAATGAAGAAGTTCATGCTTCACTCCTAGACGCCGTTCGACGACGGCTTCGTGTCTTGGAGGTTGATCACGGTTTCGAACGCACCGACCAACGCCTTCACCTTACTTTTCCGGGCTCCGACGAGCTTATTCACGGCTTCTTCGATGATGTTATTGAACAGACCCTGTCCGTCTTGCTTCCCCGGCACGTCGTGGTGCCTTAAAACAACCTTTTCGTCAATCGGTCCATCATTTGTGTCACATTCGACGCTTCCTTGCCTGAACTTGAGCTGCATCGGACAATGATCGTCCGGCTCGATGTCGATGATCGTCCCTCTCCGGAACGATAATCTCACCGGTTGGCTATCGTCGGAAGTGTCTGTTTCTTCCATGTGTACTGCATTGTTGAATGCGGAGTCCGAGTCGTGTTTGGCTTCGGTCGCGGTAGACTCGGGCTCATCTTGAACGTTTGGGGACACTTCAGCAGCACAGTTCTCATTTTTATCTGATTCCAACATTACATTTTCCGTCTCCAATTTGATAACATACAGCGTTTTCTCGTTGATGGTGTCGGTGTTGCTTCCGACGTGTTCATCGAGAATTTGCTGCTCGGTTTTATCGTTTTCGAGCTCGTTCCGACTCTTCTGTGGAAGCACTACTTTTAAGTTCCTGTTCTTCCCTGAAAGAGAAGCTCTTCGGGACAACGGAGCTCTTCGTGAAGCAGAAAGATCCTCTAAGGTTACTTTGGAAGTTGCAGTTGTTTTCCCCTTCTTCGTGTCACCGGTTCCGCCCTGTCTCCGGGCGCTTATAACGTCGGATGGAACGGCAGGAAGAAGCTTTTCGGCCCGAGCTTTTGGCTTCGAAGAAGTTGCAGGGCGTTTCAAAAGGCTTTCCTCATTAGCCTTTGATGGAACTTTCTTTGAAGGGACTTGTACTCTCCCGGAACGCGATGATCCGTCCTGCGGCATGACTTTACCGGCATCGGATAAGTCGGATTTCAACTTGGTCGAAAATTTGTTTTTATTCGAAGAGTTCGTAGGCACCTCAGGGTTAATAACATCAGAGGTATCACAGGAATGACTTCCGGAATTGGGAGCATATTTGGACTTGAGCTTCGCAACTGATGCCTTTTCTTTTACGATAGGCTTATTTCCGTCCGGCAAGTCGGTCGATGTCCGAAGCTCGGTGACCTTAGAGGGGAGAGATCTGGTCCTAATCGGTGTTGTCTTCTTCCGCTGCGGCGAGTCTGAGCTCCCGAACAAACTCGGCTCATCCGACGGCTTCTTTATAATTCTCTTTGGAAAAGGAAGCCTAACCTTCTCTTCAGGTTCATCGTGTTCCTTCCCAGGTTTGCAGAAATCGTGGTAAGTACCGATAGAAGCTCTCCGATAGAGAGACGGAGCCCTTTCTCTGGTGTTTGTCGACCCGGCTAACGAGTTTCTTCTCGGATTACCACCATTGATCCCTGTCATATCTGCTGTCATTGAAGAACTGAAACTCTCCAAAGCCATTGAATATGTAGCAGACAGAATCCTGAAATCCAACCAAAACTCCATGTCAGCAGTAGTCAATTATACATACACATGGGCATACACATACACTTATGAATACAGATATACATATACATGCATAAACCTATCAGTGGTAATCAATTAGACTAGATCAATACATACATACATACATATATACATACATATATACATACATACATACATACATACATACATACATACTATGTTGCACTGATACAAATACGGAGACGAAAAATGATAATTTCTAAAAATACAGGGTACGGGGTACGACATATAAAAAATTAAATTATAAATAGATATAAAAAATCATAATAAAACCAACACTTCATAGAAAATTGGTGTAACACCCTAATTTAACCATAATTAAAATCCTAGCATTTGAGAATTTTTTTCCAAACCACTAAATTAATTTCAGTGTTCAATTTGAAAATACTGTAAAACTTGTTTCCAGATTCGAAAGTCCTAAAAAGATTAGGGATCATATAGTAATTATACCAAAAATTCCTTAAATTCTATTCTAATTCTCCATCCGCTTTTCTTCCTTCTATTTCTTTTCTCCCCACCGGTCGCTTCTTCTTCCTTTTATTTCTCCATTTATACCAAACATTGTTTCGCATGTTTATAAACCCTAATTCTCCATTTTTGTTTGTTATTTACTTATTTTCAGACCATATAATTGTCTGCACAACTCGTTCACTCGTTTTTTTTTGTTCTTCAATATTTTTTGTCTCTTTTTTTTCTGTTTCTCATTTACGATTCTTGTACATTTTGTCAAAATTACCCTTGGGAACGTCCTCGAAACGTCCTCAGATAAGCTTTGACCGTCCCCAAATTCGATTATCCGTGACACGTCTCCAGTACGTACCTCAGCCGTCCCCGTGCCATCAATTAGACTAGATACAACAGATTCATTCATTCATACATGCATGCATACATACATATTTACATATACGGGTAGATGTAAAGAAAAGAAGAGAACTAACCGAACTCAATTCGGATATTATGCTTCAAATTTGTCAACCTGTAGAACTACAGAGAAAGATTTAAAGGTCATTAGAAACCAATTCAATATGAAGCTAAACATCATTCAATTTTAGAGGCAACTAAAAGGAACAAATCCGAAAGACGACGAATAGACATAAACTCGAAATCATATAAGAACGACCCATCATATCTAAACAGCAAAAGAGCTTGATTGCACTGTTCATACATACATACATACACATTTACATCTACTGGTATATATAGAACTCTATGTCAGCAGTAGACAATTATACATACAAATACACATATGCACTACACACGTGCATATGCATACAGATACAGATACACATATGCATATACATTCGAAAGGCGACGATTCGGCATAAACTCGAAAGCATATAAGAATAACCCATCATATCTAAACAGCAAAAGAACTTGATTTCACTATACATTTGTTCATACATACACACATACACATTTACATATACTGGTAGATGTAGAATTCTATGTCAGCAGTAATCAATTATGGGCATACACATGCACATGCATACACATTCGAAAGACGACGATTCGGCATCAACTTGAAAGCAGAACAACCCTTCATATGTAAACAGAAAACAGATTGATTTCCCTAAACATTCTCGTTCTGGAAACACCATGAAAATCATCTTTCTGATATATGTAAACAAACAGGCGACTACTTTTTTCTGTGAGTGTTTTTTGCATTACCACATGGTTTGATGTTCAATCAAAATAGTTAATAAATATAACATGAACACATACAAAAAGAGACACAAACTTCTCCCCTTCATGAAATTTCATAGAAGGGAAAACAACAGATTGGCCTTAAAATCACTACGATCATGACCAAAAGAGAAGAAAATATGGAACACAAACCTACAAATACAAAGAAGAAGAAGAAGATGATGAGGTATACACCAAAACCCAACTCAAAATCCACAGTTTAGAAGAAACCCAATGTTCTGAACAATCCATAAACCAAAACCCATGTTATATATTTCTTCAAAAACCAGAAACGAAGAAGATAACAAAGGGAAGTTGAACCTTGTTTTGTATCAGAAAAGCTCGTTATTAACTCTCCGTTTAACCAGAACGCATACGAAAAGGCAACTGAAAAGCGAAACGAGCGAAGGTTTTGGGGTTTTAATTTCTATCTTCAGCTTTGCATTGTGCGTTTGGGTTGGTTGCTATAAATACGGAGGAAGGAAGAGATTTCCGCTTGATCAAACCGCCATGAAAGAGACTAACCAACTTGGAGAGACTCACATTGCACCATCTTTTTTATAAGTCTCTTATTATAGCCATAAAAGCATTGTTCGATAAGATATGTAACGTTGTTTTTCAAGGATAAAGTACACAAATGGTCTCTCAACTATACATTATTATTTTATTGAGTCTTTTAATTATTAAAAATTATAAAATAGTCCTCTAACTATAGGACATTGCTATTTTAAGTCCTCCGACTATTAAAAATTACAAAATTGTCACCCGAATATTCACTATGTTCCAAACTCGTCCTTTTCGTTAAAAAGTTGATGATAGTTTGAGCTGGACGTTAATATAATGACTGGGATTTGGTAGTCGTTTGAGATTCTGTGATCATATTATATCATGTCTCAGTCAACAAATTAACGTCCAACTCAAATTGTCATCAATTTTTTTAATAAAAAAGGACGAGTTTGAAACACAATGAATAGTTGGGTGACCATTTTGTAACTTTTATTAGTCAGGGGACTTAAAAATAATGTCTTATAGCCAGGGGATCATTTTATAATTTTTAATAGTCAAATGACTCAATAAAACAACACCTTATAGTCGGGGACCATTTATGTATTTTACCTTTTTTATAGTAAAGGATGATTATAGGATAATATTTGTTTATAATTTTTTAAGCATTAATAATGCATATACACTCTACAGATACAACTGCTCGAATTCAGTACCTCTAGGGAGAATATTCTGTTAAGTATATGATTTATGATTTTAGGATTCATGTTTCGAGTTTTGCATGTCTATCTTAATGTCATGTATCATATTTAAATATGAGTTAAGTATGTCATACATCTTTAAATTATAACATTCATTATGAATTAATCCTCAAATTTTTTAATATTCTAATTTAATCTCTAAATTGTGAGTGTCATTCTAAATTGGTCTTCAAATGTTTGAACATTCCAAATTCATCTCTAAACTTATGACTCATTAGGGTGAGAAAAACTCAATCCGACTTGAAAATTTTCAAATTCGAGTCGATTTATAAAATAGAACTTGAATGGCTCAAAAAAAATTAATAATTAGTGAATTATTTTTAAGTTTGAGTCGAGTCTCTAAACTCAGCGTGATATATGTATATCACATATAAAAAATATGAAATGTATATGTATATTGTATATAGTCATAATTTATTTTCATTTTTTTGAAACAATTAAAATATTATTTTTAAAAAACAATTATGACTTATATGATTATAGAAAACAGTTTAAATCAGAATAAAATAGTACCATACTATTATAAATATTTACAATTAATTTTGACAAAAACTCGAACTACTCGATTCAAATTTATAATTTCGACTCAAAAAGATTTCAAATAAAGTTTGAGTTATAAAATATGACTCTTCAACTAATAACTCGAATTTTTTTTTGACCCAACTTGACTCGATCAAATGCTTATCATTAACTCTCATTCTATAATTGTCCCCAAACTTTTGAATGATTTAGGGGATGTTATTAGAATGTTCAAAAGTTTGGGACTTATTTAGAAAGAAAATCATGATTTGGGGATGAATTTGGAATATTTAAAAGTTTTGGGACTTATTTAGAAAGAAAATCATAATTTGAGGATGAAATCTAAATATTCAGAATTCTAGGCATCAATTTACAATTTAGGGTATAAACTTTCATTTAAAAGTGTATATATCTTAGTGTCATGCATCTTATTTAAAATTATGGTTTAGAATTTTAGGGTTTATAACTTATTTTTAATATTTTTATTTTACTCTCGTATGAATACAAGATAGTATTTGTTCAAAAAAAATCAATCATTTGAGAATTAACGCTCATACACCCCTGCATATGTGGTGCTCGAATCCAAGATTTTTAAAAGATAACAACATCACTTAACAATTAAAATCGCTTGATTCGTGCTCGTGTATTATACTCGAATATTGATATCCAAAAATTAATATTTGTTGGTTTATCAGATAGATACTTTAAATCTTAATTCATAAATCCACATTTAATTTAATGTCGGCCAATTTATTTTATTTTATTTTGTTTGGTTGAATTGTTGGAATTAGGGAACCAACCACAATTAAGTGCCTTAAAGCAAGAGATATCACTTGATTTTCACTTGCATAATGAATAATAATATATTCCATTAATTGTTGTTTTATTGTCATTGAAATGTTGTAAAAGTATTCAGGGAAAACTACATAAATGACCACATAACTATGGTAAGGTCATGAAATGATCACCATTTTTAAAAGAGAAAATCGCCTCAGTGACCAAAAAAAAGTTATAATATACGATTTTAACCAACTTTTTTTGGATTTGCCAAAATGACCAACAAAATCGCAACGCGAAATAAAAATCGCAATGCGATCCCCAGAATCGCAAATCAGTTTCCAAAATCGCAACGCGATTCTTGAAAATCGCAATGCGATAGTACAAATTCGCATTGCGATTTTCCAAAATCGCAACGCGAATATGAAAATCGCAACGCGAACACATAAATCGCAACGCGTATCCGTAAATCGCAACGTGTATCCGTAAATCGCAACGCGTATGGGTAAATCGCAATGCGTATCCGTATATCGCAACGCGTATCCGTAAATCGCAACGATAATACATAAAATCGCAACGCGTATCCGTAAATCGCAACGCGATATTTAAAGCGCCATTATAATCGCTACGCGTATTTTATTTTCAAATTACAAAAAGAATATTAAGACAAAATCCCGTAATCGCAACTCATAACCTAAAACCTAAAATCACAACTCAGTCCCATCTCCATCTCTC